GTGTGTGTGTGTGTGTGTGTGTGTGTGTGTGTGTGTGTGTGTGTGTGTGTGTGTGTGTGTGTGTGTGTGTGTGTGTGTGTGTGTGTGTGTGTTACTCAGAATTGAACTCAGAGCTTTGTACTTGTTTACATTGCTTGCTCTGCTGGTGTTCCACTTGAGACATACCATACCTCTAGCCCTATTTTTGTTGTTGTTTTGTTTTTTTGTTTTGTCGGTCATGGGGCTTGAACTCTGGGTCTGAACACTGTCCCTCAGCTCTTCAGGTCAAGGCTAGCACTCTAGTGCTTGAGCCACTGTTCCACTTCCAGTTTTCTGAGTGGTTTATTGGAGATAAGAGTCTCACGGACTTTCCTGCCTGGGCTGGCATTGAACCATAATCCTCAGATCTCAGTCTCCTGAATAGCTAGGGTTACAGGCGTGAGCCACTGGTGTACCACTTTAGCCCTGTTTTTTTTTTTTTTTTGCTGGCTATTTTGGAAGTAGACTCTGACAGGCTGCTTTTCTACCTCTGTTGGCTTTGAACCTGAACCTCCAGATTTCAGCCTCCAGAAGTAGCTAGGATTATGGATATGAGCCATCAGTGGCTGGCTAAGGATGTCACTAACTTTTTGCCTGGGCTGGTCTTGAACTGTGGTTCTCCTGATTTCTGCCTGCGGTCACAGGTGAGTCACTGTGCCCCTCTTGGCAACTCTTTTTTGGGGTGCATAGTGAGGACTTCCTCTTGAATACTGCAAAGCAGCAATACAGCCACCACCAGGCCCTGTAGCAATATGGTGATTTGTGGTTACCCATGCTGCTTTGGTCCTGAGTTCATGCTTTGTGCTATGCAGTGTTGGATGTGGGGATAATAGCCTAACCCACGTGTCCTCCCCAACTCGGAAGGCCCCGTCCCCTGACAGTGCCCCTCCCTCCCCACAGATTTGAGTACCTGTTCAACTTTGATAACACGTTTGAAATCCACGACGACATTGAAGTGCTCAAGCGAATGGGCATGGCATGTGGGCTGGAGTCAGGGAGCTGCTCTGCCGAAGACCTCAAAATGGCAAGAAGCTTGGTACCAAAAGCTCTGGAACCATACGTGACAGGTCAGTCCTGCTCCGTGACCACAGTGTAGCTGAGCTCCTGCCCCAGCACTGGGCCTCTGTCTGTAGGCTAAGATGGACATGGGCCCGCTGTTACCCAGTCTGCTGTTGGAGCCCTCAAGTGGCCCTTGTGGAATGGAAGCTTTCTGGTTTGAAGCCAGCTGGTGCAGAAAATGTCTGTCCCTGCAGTCCTCCCAGCCCACTGTGCTACTCTGTGAGGACAGGGGACATGGTGCTGACTGTCCCTGCAGTCCCCCCAGCCCACTGGGCTGCTCTGTGAGGACAGAGGACATGGTGCTGACTGTCGCTGCAGTCCTCCCAGCCCACTGCGCCGCTCTGTGAGGACAGAGGACATGGTGCTGACTGTCCCTGCAGTCCTCCCAGCCTACTGTGCTGCTCTGTGAGGACACTGGGATGTACTGACTGGACTCTGGCTCTGGCCGTGTGGCCCGTACCCTGGTGACTTTTTTTCTAAGGCGTTGGTTCCTGGACGAAGACATGAGGGATGTGGCTTCATGGTAAAGCTCATGAAAGTGCTTGTTTTCCTATTGTTCCAAATTTGTGGTGTGGAATTATTTATTCTCTGAGGAGAGTCCATAATTCTGCTTTGCAACTCAAGGGCTCAAACTCATCCTGAGCTTGTAATGCCGTGGAGACCTGCTGGAGTCTCAGATGTCACAGAACCAGATGCCAAGGTGTTCAGCATTTCCTACTCTCTGGTACCCCTTGTTGAGGTGGTACCAACAGCCTTCCCTAAGGAGTGTGCACCGCAAGGTCCTGCTGGCTTGGACATGCACCTGGGGCCCTGCTGCTCCATGCGTTGGTTAGAAAACACCAGGTCTCTTTGAGCTGGCCAGTCCCAGTGTGCGTACTTCTTTACTTATGCCTTTTGGAGTCTCCCTTGGCTTTGTTGTCATTTGCTCCCTTTTTCTTTCTCTGCAGAAATGGCTCAGGGATCCATTGGTGGGGTGTTCATCACGACATCAGGCCCTGCCTCCAATGGGACACGGCTTTCTGCCAGGTAACAGGGTTGTGGGTGGGCATCCTCTGGCCTTTGGTGTGGCAGCCTCTTGCTTGCTGTGTGCCGTACCCAGAGCTGGACTCTTCTGCCCCTGCCACAAAGGTGCAGCTCAGGAGCCACTCCGTGCCGCCCCTGTGGAAAGACATGCAATAAAATGGGAGGAGAAAAATGGCCACAGTTCACTGTCCCTGACAGCCCAAGTGACAAGTGGTCTTCTCAGAGCTGTTTTTCTTCTCTCAGAACCCACTTAGCATCATAGCATATGCATAATTTTGCCTTCTGCTTTTTCACTATAATTTATTTTTGGTTACTGAAGACCATACTTAAATGCATATGTATTTGTATTAACCTTTGGCTTAGCAGTTCCAGAGAGCAGAATGATGCCCCTGGTATTTACATGAATGCTCCCATGGTAACTGTGAGATGGCTTTTTTTTCGGCCGTGGGGCTTGGGTGCTATCCCTCAGCTCTTCAGAGCGCTCTACTTCTTGAGCTGCAGTGCCACTTCTGGTTTTCTAGTGCTTTATTGGAGATAAGAGTCACAGACTTTCATGCCCAGGCTGGCTTTGAACCATGACCTTCAGATCTCAGCCTCCTGAGTAGCTAGGATTACAGGCGTGAGCCACGGGTGCCCAGCTGTGAAGATGGCTTTTATGGTAAATATTAGCACAATGTAGCAGTGGATTTACTGCCTTTTTTATTGCAGGACTTTATTTTTTATAGTTTATTTTGTATATTTTATTGCAGGAGTTCTATTTTCTAAACTTAAACATATGTAAGATGTTAAATTTAGCTGTGTATTAAGATGTTAAATTTAGCTGTGTATTGAGGTGCATTCGTAGCATTCATGCAGGTCCAGCAGGGACTGATGAGGTAGAGCTGAGCTGACCAGGGCAGGTGTGCTTTGCAGGCCCTGTACATGAGGGCCAGGCCAGGAGCTGCTGTTTGGGCCCTGTGGGCCTGGCCACCTCACCTATCCTGAACATGTAAGATGTTAAATTTAGCTGTGTATTGTGCATTTGTAGCATTCGTGCAGGTCCAGCAGGGATTGATGAGATAGAGCTGGGCTGACCAGGGCAGGTGTGCTTTGCAGGCCCTGTACATGAGGGCCAGGCCAGGAGCAGCTGTGTGGGCCCTGTGCAGGCCCTGTGGACATCGTGAGCATCTGTTTGTCACAATGTGATTAGCTCTCCTAAAGTGCAGTTTTTCTCATTTGTCCTGATTTCTAGCTGTTCGTGTGTGTGTGTGTGTGTGTAGTGATGTCAGTCTCTAGAATATTTAAGAAAAATTTAAGTTTGAGGAGGAGGGTTTTTTTGTTGTTGTTTGTTTTTATCAGCCGTGAGGCTTGAACTGAGGACCTGGTGCTATCCCAGAGCTGTTTTTTACTCAAGACTATGGCTTTACCACTTTGAGCCATAGCACCACTTCTAGTTTTTGGTGGTTAATTGGAAAAGAGCCTCATGAGATAAGAGCCTCATGGACTTTCTTGCCTGGGCTGGCTTTGAACTACAATCTTCAGATCTCAGCCTCCTGAATAGCTAGGATCATTGGCATGAGCCACCAGCATCTGGTTTAAGTTTGAATATTTTTTAAAAATTTAACTGTGGCCAGGTACCAGTTGTTTGTATCTATTATGTATGTACTGAGGAAGCTGAACCTGGAGGATCTCGTTCAAGGCCAGACTGGACCAGTCTTGAGACTCTTATTTCCAATTAACAAGCAAAATGCAAGATTAGAGGCATGCCACTAGTAGTCAAGAGCAAGAAAGCTGAGAGAGAGTATAAGCCTGGTACCAGCATAAAAATAAAATTAATTATATGGCCTGGCACGATGGCTCAAACTTTAACGTTAGCTACTTGGGTGGTAGAAATAAGGGGATCTCTGTCTTGGAAGCCAGACCTGAGAGAATTCGTCTTTACCGGTGGCTGCACATGGTGATGTGTGTCTTACCCAGCTACAGAAGAAGCATAATGGGTGAGTGCCTGTTGTCTCCAAGGACGGGAGGGCACAGTAGAAAGTTTCTGTTCTGGTTTCTGTTGTACCTAAATGAAATCCTATCTTGGAAATTACCCACACCAAAAAGGTCTTAGGCGTTCTTGGCAAGGGCTCTACTACTGAGTTGAACTCATGGCCTGGGCACCGTCCATGAGCTCTTTTGCTCAAAGCTAGCATTCTACCACTTTGAGCCACAATGTCACTTCTGCCAATTAACCACTCCTGCCCAGGTTGACTCTGAACTGTGATCCTTAGATTTCAGACTCCTGAGTGACTAGGATTATGGTGTAAGTCCTTAGCTCCTGGCTTGGGTGGCCCTTTCCACACTGTGCCCCGCCCTGCGTGGCCCTATCCACATCAGTTGGGCTTCCCATGGAAAAGCAGTTGGGTGTAGGGAAAGCTGGCTTCAGTAGCAGTGTGATAGAAGACTGCATGAAAGCATATTTAGGTGGCTCCTGAGTTTGTAACAACTTCTGACTTGTTTTGCTAGGCTGAAAATCCAGATTTGGTTACTTTGCTTAAAGGAATAACACATGTTTATGGCTGAAAATCCCATATGTGGAGTTGCTTTGCCAGAAGTATACATGTGTTGATAAACACTAGTAAATGGCATTGGAATGTGTGCGTGAGGTTGATTGTGTGTTGAGTGGCATCTCAGCTCCAGCCTGTGGAGAGTTTAGTGGTGCTGCCCTCTCTTGGGTTCTGATCCATGTTACTCAATTGTGTGTGTGTGTGGGGGGGGGGGAGGTGGGGTGGTGTGCTGGGGCTGGAACTCAGTGTCTCATGCATGTCAGGTAGCATTCCCTGTGCTGCATTTCTGGACGTGGCTACCATACAGAGCCAATCCTCACCTTGTACATAGTGCACTGTACTCAGTTGTGGGGAAAAGGCCCGATCCAGCTCTGTGCAGTTAGCTGTTCACACTGAGAGAGAGCACAGGGGCACTAGCGGCACACCGGTGAGCACCCTGACGGGTGGGGCAGGTCGCAGTCATGCAGTTCCATTGGGGAGTTTGTGCAGCCCATCCTTGTGCTGTCAGAGTAGGACACACCGCTGACCTCACCTGGCCTCCTGTCCCCACAGTGACTTGAGCAATGGTGCCGATGGAATGCTAGCCACAAGCTCCAATGGGTCCCAGTACAGCGGCTCCAGGGTGGAGACCCCTGTGTCCTACGTTGGGGAGGATGATGATGATGACGATGACTTCAACGAGAATGATGAAGAAGACTGAGTTCCCGACTTGCAGATACTTTCCCCTCCAAATTCAGCTTCAGGAAAATGTGCTTAGAGAAGACAAACTTGTTTTTTATTATTGTGGGTTTTCTGTTTGTTTTTGGCTTACTCCCAAGAAGACATTGTAAGCTGTGGAGTTGAGATGCACACTTCCAATAAGCAGGAGTCGTTGGTGGGTATGGGGCGTGTGGCTGTGCGCCTTCCATGCCAGTGTGCCGGTGCAGGGCCTCTGCTTACTCTAGGATTCTGTGTTTTCACTTTGTTTTTAAATCCAGAGTCATTTTTGCCCCCTCAGCAATTCTTACTGGGTTTGCTGTGGAATCGTCCTGCACCCACCAGGGACGGGTGGTGTGCCCCTTGCCTCCTGGGGTCCCCACCGCGCGTTAACGCCTCACTGAGTGCTGGGTGGCCCCCTTGTGGGCGGTATCAGGCTCCAGGGTTAGTTTTTCATTCTTTAAATCATGCAGTGTCCAAAGAACCAAGCAGATAGCAAAGCTCTACATTTTAAACAGTAAGCGCCATAAATTTTATTATGACTATTTTTCCTTAAATTATATTGACTGTTGTGGTCCCATCAGGTTTGAAGGCTTTTTTCCTCTATTTCAACAACAAATTGCAAAGTACTTTTTTTGTTTGTTTTCGCTTTGTTTGGTAAAGGTTTACTGCCATGCTGGCGCAGTTATGGAAACTGTCTGGAAGGTTTATTGCTTATGGTAAAATTTGCCTGATTTCTTACAGGCAATGTTCGGAAACTTTTTATTATATAGTTGTTTACATACTTATAAGTCTATCATTTAAAGACATGTACTGAAACAAATGTTGTATTTGTTTCACGAGCATCTTCCTGTAATCTATTATAAAGTTGAAATTAAACATAGAGAATGTTTTAACAGTTTTTTAACTCAAAATTTGTCAATCATTTTTAATAGTTCTTTTTTTATAAAAAGAAAAAGGAATTTAAGGACAGGCAGTAGTCTCTTAAAATTTATTCACAAAAAAACCGTTAACTGCACAGTTGCTGTCAGCTGCCTGTTCTAAACGATAGTCTTTTTATTGAAACACAAATAAACTTTTCTGTAATATTTTATGGAATATAAAGAGACTTTAATTGTTTGACTTGTTTAACTTGGCACTGTTAGTTTTTATTAATAAAACGCGCATGGGCATTTTAAACAAGCTCTGTGTTTCTCTAATTCAGGATTATTGTCTAGAAATTGCACAGCTTGTTAGCTTCATTTCACATGTGAGTGGAAAAATGGGCAGTTGTACCAGCTGTGTCCTGTGGCCATGTGTCCCTTCTGCCATCTGGAGTGACGGGGGATACCTCCTACTACTTGGGGTGGCGTAGGAGGTGAGCAGTGGCACATTCAAGGTGAGGCAAGGCAGCGAGCACCATTTTTCTAGATGCCTGTGGTGCAGAGGAAGTTTATTTCTTGACTCTTTCCTCAATTGTAAAAGATGAGGTATATTTTACAGATTTGACTAAGAAACCAGGATTGTTAAAGTACTCTGAAAAGATGGCTGAGAGGAGGAAGCCATTCTGGGCACCTGTTCCCTTGCCTGACAATTGTCCTGTAAGAATCTGCCAAGTGTAAGGTCTGGAACTGAGTCTATAACTCCTGGGCCCTCCAAAGGATGTGTGGGAGTACAGCACCTGCTTGGTGGCTAGTGGGAGCCATGGTGGACAGAGAGCTCTGTTCCTGAGTGTGGAGGTGTGGCCTTGGATTGCTAACTGCTCTTCTCTTCACAGAGGTGCAGAAAAGTTAGCTGCTTCCCAGAGGTGCCCTCTCCGCCCTGTGCTGCGTATGGTCACGGGAACTATACCCCCTTCTACCTCTGCCCACGCCTCTTAATTTTTCTCTTTCCACTAAGACTGAAGAGACTGGCACACTAAAAAAGCAACTTTGTTTAGAGGAATTTAGAGAGTGGTTGTGCCTCACAGTAAAGACCTGAGAAGACCTTCAGTAGGCATCTCAAGCTGACCTTCAGCACGGATGGTCTTCAGTTTCCAAAAATCAAACCCAGAAACAGTAAGTAATAAGTTCAACAAGCCCTAGGAGATGGAAATCACCTTCTGGCCACTACATTAGCATATCTGCATGTCCAGTGTTCAACAGAAAGTTATATTGTATACGGAGAAAGCATGCAGGTATAGAAGGAAAATAAATCAGACACTGTCTCTGCAAAAGATGTCATAGCAGACATCTTGGACAGTACTTGAAAACGTACTCAAAAGATACATGGGGAACTAAGTAAGGAAGAAGAGAAAGTATAAAAACTGGACTGGGAACAAAATGGAAACAGCTAAAGAGACAAAGCCTAAAAGGGAATAAAGTTCTGGGGCTGCAAAGCAAGCATAATTAGAAGATTCACAGGAAGAGTCAGGCAGAATTGTCAAATTTGGAGATGGGACAATGGAAAGTCCTGAGTCTGAGGAATAGACAGATTGAAGAAGACACATGGAAATTCATTCCAGATGGTCAGCAAGTATATCCTGAATGAATCTTGAGAAAGAACTGAATATTCGCCGATTCAGTGGCTAGAAACACCAACTTAAGTGGAGGACATGAATGAAGTGTTTAAAAAGCTTAAGAAATTCCAAGTAAAGTGAACTCAGACCCGCAACAAACTTCTAAAGACAATGTTAAAAGCATCAAGAAATGAAAAATCGTTACATGTAAATGTCCTTGACAACATGATCTAGAAATCTGCCAACCAGAGAGCCATGATGCATCAGGTCAATATATTAAAATTACTAAAAGGAAAATAAAAGCTGTCCTGAAAGACATCTGTGTCTCACTGGCTGTCCTAAGACTTTCTGATCAAAGCTAGGGAATTTTTTAGTAGAGCTGCCTACAGGCAGTGTACAGGGCCATCCAAACAGGGTGAAGGCCACCAAAGGATGAAGCATTTGGAAATCAGATCCCTGGTGGATATGGACATGGGACCATTTTCAGTGTTACCACAACTGGTTTGTAATGTGGCTGTTTTCTATATAATTTTAGAGATACGTATTTACAAGACTAGTTCTTGTGTATACCATGTATTAGAGTTTCAATACCCAGTGGGATATTAAAGTTGAATGTGTGTAGATTCACATTAAAACGTTACAGCTTTAGAATGTGAGATATTACTTTGGTAACTGCAGAGTAATCTCTAGAATATACATAGAAGGAAACAAAATGAACTTAAGCATTCACTACAGAAATTAAGCACAAAAAGATGGTCATTCAGGAAACAATGGATAGAAAAACCAGTAGAGAAAGTACACTGGTAGGAGTTCTTATCAGTAATCACTTTAAATATAAATGGATTGAAATTCTCCAGTTGAGACTAGCTGGTAGGATGGATAAAAACATAGTTACCTTGTATGTTGTCTAGCAGATGATTTAGATGCAAAGATTTTAAGTGAAAGCATGAGAAGCATGACTACTACACCAGCACAGAGCAGTGGTGTCTATGCCAGTACCAGAGAAAGCAGGTTTTAAATGTCGTAAGAAGCAAAGGACTATGCAGGACAATAAGTTCAATACAGGAACTCAAAAGTATATGCAGATCAACTGAAGATCAATTGAAGGGAGAAATGGTTGCAAAAATGATACTTTGGGCTGGGAAGGTGGATCAGTGGTAGAGTGCTTGCCTTGCATGCATGAGGCCCTGGGTTTGATTCCTCAGTACCACATAAACAGAAAAATCGGGAGGTGGCACTGTGGCTCAAGTGGTTGAGCGCTAGCCTTGAGCTGAAGAGCTGAGGAACAGCGCCTAGGCCCAGAGTTCTGGCTCCAGGACTGACAAAAAGATTTTGGGCCCCACTCCACAATGGATAGAACAGGCAGCCAAGGTACATACATCAAGAACAACTAGCCCAGAGAAGTAACCAGAACTCACAAAACATGTATGACTGTAGCCAGTAGTAATAAGCTCTTCCCAAGGGGTCATGAGGTATTTAAAAAGACAAAGAATCTCTTTTGGTTACAGTAAGAGGAAGGTAGAGATCTAGAAACTAGAAGATAGAGAAAATTTGGGGAATTGAAAAATGTTCTCTGATTGGGCTTTGATCTTAAGACCTTGCTGCTTGCTTAGACTGGCATGCTACCATTCAAGCTACACTTCAAGCCCTAATAAACATACCCAATGAATCAAGGAAGAAATCAGTGAAACTACAAAATACTCAGAAATCAGTCAAGTCGAAAACAACAAAGCTTAAGGCTTGTAGCCAAAGCATTGCAAAAAGAAATGTATAAATAGAGATGGGGAAACAGTTCAAATCAATGTTACAAACTCAGGAAGTAGAGAAAAAAATTGTATTAAACTAAAAGGAAGGAAATAAAAATTTAAGCAGAATGGACAACAAATCAAAATCATGATTTGAGAAGTTCAGTAAAATTGATAAATCTTGGGGCTGGGAAGGAGGCTCAGTGGTAGAGTGCTTGCTTGCCTTGCATGCATGAGGCCCTGGGTTCGATTCCTCAGTACCACCTAAGCAGGAAAAGCTGGAAGTGGTGCTGTGGCTCAAGTGGTAGAGTGCTGTCCTTGAGCTGAAGAGCTGAGGGACAGTGTCCAGGCCCAGAGTTCAGGCCCCATGACCTACAGAAAAAAAAAAAAATTGGTAAATCTTTTAGAGGTATAAAAGGGCTAAAATCAGAAATGAAAATGACATTTCTACTGATTGCATTTGTTGTATGTCAATAAATTTTAAAGCTTAGATGAAGAGGATAATTGGTAGAAACAACCCACCAAGGCTTAATCCAAAGATTAGTCTAAACCTAGAACTAGTAAGAGGTAGAGTTTGTCCTAGAAAACCTCCCAGCAGAGAAAAAGTTGACCTAGTGGCGTTCTACCACACTATCAAAGGAACAAGAAGATCATGTCCTAACTCAGTTCTATGCAGCTAGCACAATTGTCATCTTAAAGCCATGCCAAGGCACTAAAGATGTGTGCACATTACACAAAGGCCCTCAAGGCAACCAAGGGATTGGCAGGTCTGCTTCAACACACAGAACATGACAAGTGTGATATAGGGTACATGAACAGGACGAAGGTGAAAATCATCTGAGAATATAAGAATGCATCTTATACAATTCTGCACCTTATGGTGAGCTCAGCTGACGAGGAGGAAACGTGAAGACAAACTCCCTGAACATGTTGCTTGGTGAAATGCTGAACTTTTCATTTTAGATGGGAAGCGATGATGCCCGATGCCCATGGAGATAGTATAATGGACTCTCCTGCCCAGGCTGGCTTCGAAACTTGCTCCTCAGATCTCAGCCTCCTGAGTGATTACAGGTGCGAGCCACTGTCACCCAGCCAATACCATTTTTAAGTAAGACAAAACCTATAAAGTTCTTAGAAGAAAACAGGATGAAGTGCTTATGATTCTGGATTTGTCAATGATTTCTTGGATATAATACCAAAGGCACAGGAAGCAAATGAAAAAATATACTAAGTAGATACTGAAAGTTACAAAGTTTAAGATTAAATGAAAAAAAGTATCTGATAAAAACTAGGTGCTTACTTAGCCTTTAACAATAACCCAATTAAAAAATGGACTAATGATTTAAACAGAGACTTCTCAAGAAGTCAATATTACCAATAGACATGAGAAATGTTCAACATCTCTGGCCATAAAGGAAAAGCAAATCTAAATACCTTGATTCTACCTTACCCCCGTTAGAATGACCATTATCAGGAAAACTAACAGTAACCAATGCTGGCATGCATGTGGCCAAAAGGGAATACTACTGCACTGTTGGAAATGTACACCTGTTCAGCCATTCTGAAAGGTAGTATGGAGGGTCCTCAAAAAACTCAACAACTGCGCTGTGACCCAGCAATCCCACTGCCGGGCATTTATCTGAACACAAGCAAGGACACACTAGAGCTACTACCACAACCAGGTTTATTAGATCATTACTTGCCATAGCCAAGACAGGGAATCAGCCCAGATGCCCTTCTGGATAATGGGTCAAGAAAATGTGGTGTATATTCACAATGAAAGTCTCATCTATCAGAAGAATGACATTGAAGCCAGGTGCAGTGACTCACACTTGTAATCCTAGCTACCCAGGAGGCTGAAAGCTGAGATTGCAGTTCAAAGCCAGCCCAGGCAGGAAAGTCCATGACATTCTTATCTCCAATAAACTACTGAGAAAAAAAAAATGGAAGTGGAGCAGTGG